TTTACTCAGGGTGACACTGGACAGATCAACTAATCTGTCCCTCAGTCTTCCCATCTATGAAACAAGGTAGTTTTACTCCCTATTTAAGACACAAGTTGTAAGGATTCCATTATTTAACATATAAGGATCACATGGAACCTGGCTCACTATAATAAACATCAGCTAATTTGTTTAGCTATTTTGGTTGCGTGATATGTATTACAGAATAATAATTAAAGACATATTTGAGAGCTAATACATATTTGTTATGTTACGGGACATCCTTTAGACAAATATAACCCAAAGTATGCAGAGTGAAAGGTTAAAATAAGTAATCATTTAAAAAGTGGCAAAAGAATGAAGGGGTATCAATTTAAATAAGCAACAATGCTATTACTGAACTTGGAGCTTCTGTGCGGACTTCTTACAATCTAATAATTGAAAGAAAATGAAAAGAGGTTGGGGGAACCACTGACCACATACCACAGGTCTGCCAAAGGGCACACCACCTCCAGGAAGGCTGTTCCAGCAGCTCCCACCAGCCCCAACTACATGTTTTATATGGTAGAGCCCTAACAATGGGAAAGCAAGCACACACACCTTGAGAAAAAATAGAACTGAATGTCTTCCCCCCAAAATAATAATTAGGAGTAATAAAACCACAGATGGAAATTTTAACTGTCTCTGCTTACCCGAAGTTATTTCCAAGCTTCAGTTTTAAGACGCAGGCACATGTAATTCAAAGACTCTCATGACCCAGCGTTTGTTATTTTAGATAGAGGGACACGATATTAGAAAATGGACAGAGGTTTTCAGCTACGTTTAGTACAGTAAGACAAGTAAAATAATAATGTTAGAATAAAGGTGATTTGAAAGCTTTTACATCTGGTGAAAATACACTTTTTTAAAAAGTTTTAAAGAAAACTTTAGTTGTGGATATCAATAATTTGATCCAGCTTTCTACTTGTTGATAACTAACCTTAAAATATTTACTTTTGGTGGCACAAGCAGTTAAGTGTGCACGCTCCGCTTCAGTGGCCGGGGGTTCACAGGTATCCCAGGTGCGCACCAACGCACCACTTGTCAAGCCATGCTGTGGCGGCATCCCGTATAAAGTGGAGGAAGATGGGCATGGATGTTAGCTCAGGGCCAACCTTCCTCAGCAAAAAAAGAGGAGGATGGGCATGGATGTTAGCTCAGGGCTGATCTTCCTCACACACACACAAAAAATTTACTATTTATTATGCTTTCAAAATTTCAAACGCCACAGGTAACAAAAACAGTCAGCCTCAGTTAAAAAGGTGAGTGCTCTCAGACTGATTCGTTTCATTACAAATTAACAGGTACCCCCTCTGACTACATATTTAGTATTTCAAGTAAAAAGCAACTAGATTATTTATAAATGGAGTTGTCTGAAAATTTTAAAAAAAGCTTAGTCTTAGTCAAAAGAATAAATTTCCCCTGGATTTGTAAAGCCTGGAAGTCATAATTAACCAGTTGAATATCCTTGTTCAGTGATTTATCTGATTTTAATACACTCAGAACTTACTTTCCTTTCCTCGGAAAGGTATGCTATCGCTATAGACTTAATAAAGGCAGCCTGGAAAAAAAAAACTGCAAATTCATGAATGGACAGTATAGAAATCTCTAGCCCCAAAGTAATTGCTTATAAAAACCTCAAGCTCTTTGCCTTGATTAGCTAACTGGGAAATAAAAATAATATTTATATTTCCATTGGTGTGTTTGAATCCTTTGCCTCTCTCTCTTTTTTTAAATTTAAATATAATTTATATATCACATATTACTTTCAGATTTACAACATAATGACTTGACATACTTATATATTGCAAAATGATCACCACAATAAGTCTAGTTCACATCCATCACTACACATAGTTACAATTTTTTTTCCTTGTGATGAAATTTTAAGATTTACTTCTTTAGCAGCTTTCAAATACACAATATGGTATTATTAACTATAGTCACCATGCTGTACATTCATTTCATGACTTATTCATTTTATAGCTGGAAGTTTGTACTTTTTAACCCCCCGTAAGCCATTTTGCACCCTGCCCCCAACCTCTGGCAACCACCAATCTGTTCTCTGTATCTATGAGCTTGGTTTTTTTGTTTATTTTAGATTCCACATGTACGTGAGATCTTACTGCATTTGTCTTTCTCTGACTATTTCACCTAGCATAATGCCCTCAAGGTCCATCCATGTTGTCGCAAATGGCAAGATTTCATTCTTTTTATTGCTGAATAATATTCCACTATACACACACACACACACACACACACACACACACCACATTTCTTTGATCCATTCATCCATCGATGAACACTTAGGCTGTTTCCATATCTTGGCTATTGTAAATAATGCTGCAATGAACAATGGGGTGCAGATATCTTTTCCAGTTAGTGTTTTCATTTTCTTTCACTAAATAGCCAGCAGTGGAATAGCTGGATCATATGGTAGTTCTATTTTAAATTTTTTGAGGAACCTCCATACTGTTTTCCATAGCGGCTGTACCAATTTACATTCCCACCAAAGTGCACAAGGGTTCCCTTTTCTCCACATCCTCGCCAACACTTGTTATTTTCCACCCTTTTGACGATGGCCATTCTAACAGCTGTAAGGTGACATCTCATTGTGGCTTGGATTTCCACCTTTGCCTCTCTTCTGTTTTGCATCTTAGAGCATAAGCAAGGCTCAGTTGCTAATTTTAGTTACTATGAGCTAAAACCAAGATAAAAGAGTTAGGAAAAATATTATTTATAATACACACACACAAATTCATTACTAGATTTAAGGGTCACTTTTTTTTCCAAAAACTATCTGAGGTGGACTGATTTGTTTACTCCTTCGGCACAGACAGACTATGTGTCTGTCGGGAGCCAGGCACGCTGTTTGGGTACTAAGGATGAAAAGCTGAAGGAGCTGACCGTCTGTCCTCCAGGTGGACACCTCAAGCCACCCAGGAACACGGTACGCACTCGTAACATCTGTGCATCTCAGTGGGTCTTATGAATCTAACTTTTCAGTGACATCATTACCTTTACTTTTATTCTTTCTCACTTGATTTGTCCCGGCCTTTTTTTTTAATGAAGAAAATGATAGTAAATATTGAAATGGAAATATTAATAAATAAAATAAGTATACAAAGGCAGAATTATTCAGATTGTTTCCCTTTGATTGCTTTCAATGTAACAGGGTTGGACGGTTGTTTCAATATTTGGGGAAAACTGCTACCTAAGAGAAAAAATATCTCTTCTGGATATCCATGGGAAGTTATGAAATACAGAAATTGTTATTAGAGATAATCTCAGAAGATTTTTTACATAAAAAAATATTAGAGCAGATAGGACTTTCATCTCCTTGTCTGATTCTCCAGAAAATATTTTGAGGTTACATTTCCTAGAGTCAAAGGATGAAAATTTGGGAGCCATTTCTCAGAAATAATTTACTCATCCCTTAGATTCTGTGAAGTTTCATTCAGATTTCCATAGAGATTTGGGAAAAGAAGGACTTTTCTTCTTCTTTGAGGGGTAGAAACATCATCATCTATTTTCCTCTTGGGCACTATTGCATTTTTAACTGCTTTGTTCACTGATCCGAGGTATGCAGAGCAGCTATAAAGGATCTTTTTACACCTAACATAGGAGAACTTATGTCTGAAAATGCACATTACTTTACAATCGACAGGGACTGAAAAATATCAGCTGAGATGCTACAGTCAACCAAGATCCTGAAAGCCACTACTTATTTAACACAACAAGCAGAGAGAGGCCATTCTCCAGGAATTACTCCTGGAATGCATAATTCTTTGTTTCCTGCTGTTTGCAGATCATTGATCAAAATCTATGAATGACAAGACTCAACTTTAAATAATGGCAGTCTGTAGGGAAAAAGGACTTCTCATTTAAAAGTCACTTTAAATAAAAAGAAAAATCTTTTGTTCCTTTTCTAACAGGAAGACTTTGATGCTTTATTTAGAACAAAAGGATACATCAATTCTCCCCATCTAGTAACATCTTCAAAAGGTCAGAAAACAAAGCAAATGGATGTATAGCTCTGAACACGCTCACAAGAAAGAAAGGCCTCAAGAACATCCAAGACTCTGAAATGGGCCCTAGAACACACTGCTTCTCAACAAATACTGGTTAAAATGAATATACTTCAAATGCTTCTGAGAGTAATATACACTCAACATGGGGAGATTAATAATAATTGCATCGTCAAAGGAATGTTCAAAACCCTGGTTTGGAAAAGAACTGCTTCCTTGGAGGATGGTTACTTAAGACATCGCTTGGCTCTACTTCCTGACAATGGTCACATTCATTTTAAGAAAAAGAAGGCCCAGTAAACGGTAGTATTACCATTTTCTGTTATCAATGCTTTGTTTTTAAATCCTTAGTAGAATATTGATTCTTTTAATTAATGCAAATAAACCTTAAAAGTTATATTCCTTCAGTGAAATATGATAAACACTAAATTATATAAAACAGTGACATCTATTGAATTCTGGTTATTAGAATCTATTCTTTTATCTCAGTAAGATACATGAATCAAAAGTATTGAAAAGGGGGGGCCGGCCCGGAGGTGCACTGGTTAAGTGCGCGCATTCCACTTCAGTGGCCCTCGGTTTGCAAGTTCGGATCCCAGGTGCACACAGACGCACCGCTTGTCAAGCCATGCTGTGGCAGCGTCCCATATGAAAAAAAAAAAAAAGTAGAGGAAGATGGGCACGGATGTTGGCCCAGGGCCAATCTTCCTCAGCAAAAAGAGGAGGATTGGCATCAGATGTTAGCTCAGGGCTGATCTTCCTCACCAAAAAAAAGAAGAAAAAAAAAAGTATTGCAAAGGGAATTGTGTAATATTTGGCTAACGTGACATAATGAACCAAGATTTCTGTCATGGTGTCCATATCTTCACTAGTAATTATCTAAGAGAACTTAGCTAAAAAAGAAGGCATTTTAAAAACACAGACCAACAACTTTACCATGCATCCAATATCTACCTTAGACAACTCCATGCCTGGCCCACACTGCTTGCAGAGCATGCAATTTCCAGACCGATCCCTGAATTCCTGTTGTCTACAGTCTCCTGTTTCACAAATCACTTCACATGCCTGAAAAAAATGTTTCACAAAACATTATTGTAAAGTAAGTTAATTAAATTTTTTGCAAGAAAGGAACAATATCATCAGTATTATTCACACAATCACTGAATGTAAACATTAATTCACAGTGAGCCCAACTGAATTTTCACTTTAGGAAGAAAAAACGCTTTCTGAATAAGTCAGTGGAACAAACAGATCAATAAGCCTGATTCTTCTCTGTGGCCCCTGAATGAGGTCTCCCTTTTTCTTGGGATTAATCACCATCTTCCTCTGGTACTCTTCTGAGTATCCAAAGTAAGACATGACTTAGAGCTGCTCTCTGTTCTAGCAGAGGACGTGTAAAAGAACAGTCATGCAAGACCCTTTTGCAACCTACAAAATTCTGGATTTAAAACAATGTTTTTTGATCTTCAAGAAATATAAACATACTTCAGGGTAATGAATTAGATAAATAAATAAATGGAATCAATTAGGATAGCTACAAGAACTTTGCTATTATCCTTTAGACATATCGGCCACATAGTTTTGATGTAGAAGTTTCGATCTTTTTCAGTTGAAGTGCATTTACTTAGAGTTCGTCTTTCAAAAAATATTATCTGAACATCATGAGATCAATAAAATTCTTGACGATAATGAAGATGACAATAGCGGCCATATTCTCTGAACTCTTCAAAGGAAAAGCGCCACATAAATATGAACTTACATTCTTACTGATGACCATTTAAATGGGACCTAACTATACACTTTGGTTCACAGCATAGGACTTAAATGGAAAGATTATCTACTTTGGCAAAAACAGAGGCTGTAAATTATTTTCCAAAATAATGGCCTTTTTATCTTATTTTATCTGAAAACAGTAACTTCACTTATACATTATCATCCTACAAAAGTGTGTTTATCTGCTTCTTAACAGATAGTATTTCATAAAAAATGTTGGTATTAATAGAATCTCCGATTGGTGACGACATTCAGTTCCACCTGTTATGGTAAGCAGGCGTGCCCTCAGCAACACTCCTGACTAATGAAAGCTGAAAACCTGAGGAAGCATTGCGGGTAAAGAGACTGTTGCTATGTATAATGTCTATCACACAAAGGCACACAAAAATTGTTTTTTTTTTTTTTTGTGAGGAAGATCAGCCCTGAGCTAACATCCATGCCAAGTCTCCTCCTTTTTTGCTGAGGAAGACCAGCCCTGAGCTAACATCTATTGCCAATCCTCCTCCTTTTTTTCCCTTTTTTCTCCCCAAAGCCCCAGTAGATAGTTGTATGTTGTAGTTGCACATCCTTCTAGTTGCTGTACGTGGGATGCCACCTCAGCATGGCCGGAGAAGCGGTGCGTCAGTGCGCGCCCGGGATCCGAACCTGGGCCGCCAGTAGCAGAGTGCACGCACTTAACCGCTAAGCCACGGGGCCAGCCCCCCACAAAAATTGTTTTTGATGGTTATAATAATGAGCAATTATTTAGCACAAACTACCTCCGCCTTTAAGCAGGAGTATTTGTAATGATGTCTGCCAGTCTCCTTAAATAAAACCAAAGCCTTGACCTCTACAGCAGGCAGGAGGGAGAGTTCAAGGCAGGATTTAGGATTAGAACGTGATTTGGGGCTAAAGGTCTTATAATCTCCTCCCACCTCTCTTAACCCCCCTTGACTAGCAATCTGAGAGGAGCCTGATTTTATTTAAGAGAGGCAGGAGACTCCCTTCTACGGCAGAGAGACTGTAATCGCTTTGAGAAAGAAATTCCACAACCTCCCTCCTAGACCATTTATTCCAATGTTTAACAATCTTAACTGAGAGAAAGGAAGCTTTCCTTATATCTACCTGAATCTCAGATTCCAATTTGACCCCATTTCCTCTTACTTTGTCTTCCAAAAAGACTTTATGGACTGCCTTCAGTGTAAATAATTCTTTTGATATTTGTAAATCATGATTATATCTCCAGATTAAATAAGTTTCAATTCTTCTGAACACCTTCATAGATCCTTTGTCTCAAGCTTTCAAACATTAAAATTCTCCACCCGTCTGTAATGAATGCTTTTTGGAAGCAAGAAGGATATAAATAACTATATAAAAATAACAGCTCTTGGGGCCGTCCCTGTGGCTTAGCGGTTAAGTGCACGTGCTCCGCTACTGGCAGCCCGGATTCGGATCCTGGGCGCGCACCGACCTCACCGTTTCTCCGGCCATGCTGAGGCCACATCCCACATACAGCAACTAGAGGGATGTGCAACTATGACATACAACTATCTACTGGGGCTTTGGGGGCGGGGGGGGTGGGAAGGAGGAGGAGTGGCAATAGATGTTAGCTCAGAGCCGGTCTTCCTCAGCAAGAAGAGGAGGATTAGCACGGATGTTAGCTCAGGGCTGATCTTCCTCACACACACACACACACACACACAAAATAATAATAATAATAGCTCTTTTAAAAATCTATTCTAGGGGGCCGGCCCAGTGATGTAGTGGTTAAGTGTGCATACTCCACTTCAGCAGCCCGGGGGGCTCGCAGGTTTGGATCCTGGGCACAGACTGACGCATCGCTTGTCAAGCCGTGCTGTGGCAGTGTCCCACATAAAGTAGAGGAAGATGGGCACGGATGTTAGCCCAGGGCCACTCTTCCTCAGGAAAAAAGATGAGGACTGGCAACTGATGTTAGCTCAGGCTCAATCCTCCTCACAAAAAAGAGTTGATTCTAAATTCTTCACAAACTGTGTAAGTCATGGGCTCCGAATTAGAATTGATGGTCTTGTTAGGGTTTAGGAAGTGTTGCGAGAGACATATGCCTGTAAACCCAAGGTAGCATTGCCATGGGGCTACAAGGAACACTGCCATTTTATGACTTCATCTAAATTTAAATAAAATAATTTCAACAATTGTTACAAATGTCCAGACCCAGCAGCAATCTTTGACTTATTAATTAAATGTAACAATGATAACATGCAATTTGAAAAAGTTTTTAAATATGGGATTAGACATAGGAAATAGTTTTGGCACTACTTATATAAATTCTTTCACCACATTCTTATGAAAATAAAGAGTTGACTTACCAAACAGGCTAGTAAAACTACAATGGTGAAAAATGTTTTCTCTTGTTCTGGTAGCACTTTTAAAGCCATTGCTCTTATTAAATATATTTACTGTTGCAGAGTTCTATAAGATAAGAAGATACAGTTAACATTAATAACATTAGTGGTCTCTCTATTTACTCTGTTTACCATTTGCTAGATATTCTAGGTAATATCATTCTGTTTTAAAAGGAATCACCTTTAAAAAAGATACAATAGGGAAATAATATGTAATTCTTTAAAAATTTAGGTTATGAGAATTGAAGCTTTGTCTACTTACATACTACATGCAAAACTCCTACTGGCTCTGAATTCCCAGGCTATACATGCCTTTATTTTCTAGCCAGCTGTCTATAGTGTCCAATCTACTTCACCCAGTAGAGAATTACATTCGAACAGTGACTACACAAACCTTCCATTTATATGGGTTTAGTCTGTGCCAAGAGGATAACAATAGTGATAAAACAACCACACGTGCTGAGCACTAGGTGCCAGGTACTATTTTCAGCATGTTAACTGATTTAACCTCCACAACTACTTGAGAAAGTAGATACTATCGTTATCCCCATTTTGGAGATGGGAAAACTGAGGCTCAGAGAGGGCTGAGTCAGTTGCCCAAGGTCACATTGCTGGTAGGAGGCAGAGCTGGATGCAAACCCAAGTGGATTGGCCCCAGTGTCACATATACTCTGCAAAACCATCTGCTCTGTTGAATAAAAATGGTATGCCTGGATCTTGGGCCTTCAGCTCCAATAAAAAGCAGACATAGCTAACATTTGGCAATTTGTGAATTCTTCCCCAAACCAGCACAGTGCAATTATATTAGCAGAAAAATAAGCATTCATTTAAAAACATCTAAAAATCATTTACAAGTGATGAAACTGGAGGCACTAATCTGACATTTCAATAAAAGATAATCCAAGCCTCTTGATCTTCACCAGAAATGATCTAAAATGTAGACACAAATCTGGTTGTTTTTTTACAGATCCACACAATGTCAAGAGAAGAGATTTATTTAAAAAAAAAGAGAGAGAAGACTCATCCAGTGGCTCTATCTATCAGGCAAAGAAACAACGGTTCAATTTCCCCTTAAGAGTAGAATCTTCCAAAACTAACAGAGACCTAGAGTGGATAATCTGCCTATTTAGAAAGAAACCAGAGCAGAGAACCGGAACCGTGAGCCAAATAGCTCTAGAAAAACAATAACAATAACAGCAGAGGAAGTAGAGCTGGCAGGCTGCTCTCTCAACTGTGGGCCAGGCAGCCAACCAGGGTGCGCCTGAACACAGGCTGGAGCTGTACAGCCCGATGGTCATTTCAGCTGCCTGAGCAGGGCCAAGATTCAGAGCAATGAAAGACCATTTTTACATTGTTGAATGAAGGACCCATTTTGAATGAATTCAAACAACTCCTTCTGCTTTTCCAGCTTCTTGGTCATAGCTTTTTTTTCCCCTTGCATATGTCAAAATCATCCAGCAATTACCCAAGCACGCAGCTTGCTGATTGTGTAGACACAGGACTGGGGTCGGCAGAGAAAATCACATTCTGTGAAAGGTATGCTTCAGGTTATCTTTCTCAACATGGTCCTAAATTTTTAAAAATGTGCTAATTCTTAAAAGTAAAAAACATAAGGTCTATGTGGAATTAAACTAATATGGAAAAGAGGATATAAATACCAAAACATTTACACAAAATATGAGAAAAAAGACATTGATAAAGTCAGTCAGTGCGCACACTAATTGAGCAACAAGTTGGGACTGAATACTCTACTAGGATTCTGTACTAATTCCCGTGGAAGCGGACAAATCCTGCAGCATCTTCGTACACAGGCAGTCACTGACATGCACACCAAGTTCCAAGTCATGGCAATATGATGCTGACTTCGTAAGATACACCTATTTTATGTACAAAAATAAATATGCCAAAATATTACCAATCTTTATGTTCATACTGTGGCATTCTGGGTGAAATTTTTCCCCTTTTTCCTAAAAATTCTTTATAATGTAAATATTTCAGTAATGAAAAAAATTTACATATAATGTTCTTGGGGCAAAAAGGTTAAGTGATATGGTCCTTCTTTAAAAGCTTATAAATTAAAAGAGATGATGAGATAAAAACCACATAAACACTACCACAGAAAGGAGAAAATTAACTAAAGTACTATAATTTTTGCATCACAAAGAGATTTTTTTTTTAGATGATAGAGTAGAAAGACATTAATGGAACTATACCCTATTGCTGACTTGTATTATTCCCCCAACACACATGTTAAACTGACTAGCTTGAATGAGTTTGTCCCCGCAAATTATTTTCTAAACTCCTTAGCTTGGCACCTGTGCCCTTTATAGTCTCACCCGCTGGCCTGCCTGTCTCATCACCGGTCACTGCCCTCACTGCCCATCCAGCTCAGCCACACTCAGACACGCTCGTTTCCGCTGAACACTCGTGACCTTGCCCTCTTGCACAGACTGTAACGTTGGTCTGGAGAGCCTTTCTCCTACTGAATCCCTCCAAGAACCAGCTCAACTGTCACCCTGCTGAGAGGTGTCCACGACCAAGCACAGTGAAGACTTGCTCCCTATGGCCCTAAAGCCCTGTCTACATTCACGTGCAGTATTTATCATACTGCAGAGCAGTTATGCTTATCTGTATGCCATCTTTACTCACCGGACTGTACGCTCCATTAAAATGGGACCCCACCTTACTCCTCTTGCACTCCTGTGTCTAGCATGGTGCCTGGCACATAAAGCCACTCAGTGAACGTCCGCTGAATCAATTAAGTGAATGAAGAAGCTGAAAACAGTGAAGACGATATTGTGGAACACAAGTGAGGTTTGGCTGCACATAGACTTAATTCTTCTGTGGTGAATAGAATAAACACTCTATTTCAGACATACTCTATTTCAGACATACATATGTACAAACTATCTTAGTACACCTCCAAGGCATTAAGTGCATCAGACAAGACAGGATTAAATAATACAGTGATGTGTTTTTAAAAATCCCAATTCACTTTAAAAAAAGGAGGCAGTTCTCTGCAGAAGATTTCTTACATGGGGAGCTGGAGATCAAAATGTGCCACTAAAATATGTCACTTCTCTTTTCTGTGACTTCTCTTTTAGCTTGGCTTTTTATACCAAGAGACGGAGAAATAACTCAGACTGGGTAGATTGTCCTGACAGCAGTTGGGATGATCTAAAGTCAAGTTCGAATAGTTTTCTGCATGTAAATTCAATATGGGTAAAAAAAAAGCCTAGGTTTTATCGAGAACTGTCAGAGGAAAATGGCAGCCAGAACCCCTGGGTTTTCAGCTCCATTTCTTAGCAACGTCACTTTGAGACACACATCTGTAGAGACAAAAACAGAACCTATCTCACAGGGGTGTGGCGAGGATTAACTGAGATAATGCGCATAAAGTGCCTAGCCAGTGCCTGGAACAGAAGAAAAGCTTCATCAACGAGGGATGGTTGCTGATGTTGCTATTGTTGCTGTTGTTCTTGAGAACACCACTTATCAGCTGTGTGAACTTGGACAAGGTACTTAACCCGAGTCTCAGGCTCATCACCTCTAAATTGGGCATAGTGATGGTACCTGCCTGCTGAAATCGCTGTGAGGCGTAAGTGAGTTTAACAACTGTAAAGCACTCACAGGAAAGTTTACTGATATAAACTGTTTCTGGCCCACAATAAGTGCTATGTACGTGTCAGCAAGGATTGCTGTCACTGTTAACGATATTATCGAGGATCAAATGATCCAATGTATGTGACAGTCCTTGAAGACTACAGCCTATTAGACAAACATGAGACATTATTCAGATGGTCACAATCGAGTGGCAGGTCATGTTTTAGACCTTTAGACGCACAGGCCCGCAGAAAGCATTCAAAGACTAAGAATCAACCCAAAGTTTGAATGAAGCATTTATAACATCAAGCGCTGTGTTAAGGCTTTATGAGAAGTATAACTTTTTTCCTTACTACCACACTCTGAAGTAGATATTTATCCCCATACGATGGGAGAGAAAGCTGAGGGGCAAAGGAAACATGTACCAGAAAGGGTGGAAACCAAATCAAATTCATGCCTGGTGACTCCAAAACACGGGTCTCAGCCATTCTGCCAGGGTGACGTAGGGCTGTATCCTACCCCAGGGCAGCATCCAAGAGCCCTTCCATTTGGCAGAGAGGTCTACATCACCAAAACCAACACTATATAACAAAATGATACATCTAATGATTTATCCACTTATTCAACAAACTTTGATTAAACAGGTATAGGTACCTGAAGGAGGCAGTGCCAGGCTGGGGGAGGACACTACATGGGTGTATGTGGAGGGCCCCGTTCAGCAGGGAGGGTGGGATCTCCTAAATGTCTTTTATTACAGCCTGGCTAAGGGGTATTCAGAAATAAACAATTTAGCTGGTGGAACGTTATAATCGTGACCTTGAATTTCCCAGAATAAAATGAAATACTTTATGAAATGCTGTGGCATTCAAAAAAAAAGAGGAAAATTTAATGAAACAACAAGTGTTTAAGTAATACTATTTGAAACAAAAATAAGGCAATAACAAGGTATTTACTGAAAATGTTTTTAACTTCTGGACATTCAGAGTCTGGCCCAGATAGAAAAATGCTTTTATATATTCACTGTTCTATTTACTTGAGGATGACTTATCAAGCACAAAATAGACAAATTATTGAGATTATGTACGATGGGTCCACTAGGGTTTTCATAGCTTGTCAAAATATCCAGACTAGACAACGTCTACCAACAACATAGCATCCATTTTTACAAAACCTGCGCAGAGAAACTGGCCCCAGCTAAGCAATGAGGAGAAGACTAATAATGCCTGGTTTACTGTGTTTTAGGAGTAGGAACTTCTGCCTCACATCTGCTCTTCAACAATATCGAGCAGGGGGGAGTGTCAGGAGAACCAGGCAAGCACAACAGGAGAGACAGGAGCCTAAAGCGCAGAGCTGGCAAACATCGTTCAGCTGCGCAGAAAGCCGCTGCTTATCCAATTGAGCTGCTCAGCCTGCCCATCTGAATAAATGGTAACTAACAGGATGTGTCCTCTTGGCCAGCCTCTA